TGGGAGTCTTATTGATCCCTTGAGGGGCTTATTTCTATTTTAACTATTTAATGTGGTGGCTGGTTGGCAAGTGCTGGCCACACATGTAACCCTTGTGTCACCACCTAGTTTTTACATTTTAATGCCAATAAATACAGTGTTAAGCTATGAGGATTTCTTTTGTATCTTTTTTAAGTTACTATTATTGCTGGGGTATACAATGTATCCCCAGACTTTGGATCCTACCTGTGTGGCAAGATGAACCCTTTCAGCATCTAACCAAGAACTCTGGGACATTGCAATATTTTTACACATTTTTGGAAGAATATACACTGAATAAAATATGCTGTGGATACTTCTAAGGTTTCTTATAACTAATTGAAGTTTAAGCATATAAAGTTGTTGTTTCTTTCATAAGATTATTTGTGGAGTACCCAGTATAAAATTAAGTGAACTGATGAATGTTTGTGATATGTGTATGAATGATGGGCAGTGTGTGAGATGCTTGTGATCTGATGAATGTTTGCGATGTGTATGAATGATGGACAGTGTGTGAGATGATTGTGATCTGATGCATGTTTGTGATGTGGCTATGAATGATGGACAGTGTGTGAGCTGCCTGTGATCTGATGAATGTTTGTGATGTGTGTGTGAATGATGGACAGTGTGTGAGATGCTTGTGATCTGATGAATGTTTGTGGTGTGTGAGCTGCTTGTGATCTGATGAATGTTTGTGATCTGATGAATGTTTGTGGTGTGTGAGATGCTTGTGATCTGATGAATGTTTGTGATGTGTGTATGAATGATGGACAGTGTGTGAGCTGCGTGTGATCTGATGAATGTTTGTGATGTGTGTATGAATGATGGACAGTGTGTGAGCTGCGTGTGATCTGATGAATGTTTGTGATGTGTGTGTGAATGATGGGCAGTGTGTGAGCTGCGTGTGATCTGATGAATGTTTGTGATGTGTGTATGAATGATGGACAGTGTGTGAGCTGCGTGTGATCTGATGAATGTTTGTGATGTGTGTATGAATGATGGACAGTGTGTGAGCTGCGTGTGATCTGATGAATGTTTGTGATGTGTGTATGAATGATGGACAGTGTTTGAGCTGCTTGTGATCTGATGAAAGTTTGTGATGTGTGTATGAATGGTAGGCAGTGTGTGAGATGCTTGTGATCTGATGAATGTTTGTGCTGTAGGTGTCACTATGTGAGTGAGGTGCTCTGTGTATTATATGGGTAAGCCCGAGGGAATTTCTAATTTATCATGTAGTATGTGCGGTTAGATCCAAATTAAATTTGTCAGGCCCTGATCTGAACCATAATTCCAACAGGAATTGATGATGTACTCTGTATTAATGTACTCTCTTAATGAGTCTATAAATACCATTTAAAAGTTCCAATAAGAAGCGGTAGGAATCAGTGACTGCTTGTGAGCAGATACTTTTACTTGTGTCATTGTATTAAAGGTTGGTCATGTACAAACAATGAAGGGTCAAAAGTCACCGAACAAGAGCATCGATGTGTCCTCAACATGCCATCAGGTAGGAGCAAGAATGTTTGGAAATATTAATAAAGATTGCAGCAATCTATGGTATGGTCTCCATGTAATAATGCTGTATCAGCTTTCCAAATGATTTCAGATTTTAAGGTAAACATTTAAAATGAATTAGCAGTATAAAAATAGATTGCATTTTGCAATGACACCTTCTCCGATGGACTAACATAATAATTAAACCACAAGCTTTTAAGAGTTTTCCCTTCTTTATTCTGAAGCAATACTGAAAAATCTGATAGAGTTTAACACTTAAAGGACCACTATAGTGCCAGGAAAACATACTCGTTTTCCTGGCACTATAGTGCCCTGAGGGTGCCCCCACCCTCAGGTACCCCCTCCCGCCCGGCTCTGGGCGGGGAGCTCTCTGCCTCCAATCCTCCTTCTCTCCTCCCTGTCGGCTGAATGCGCATACCATGAATTCATAATGCTTTCCTATGGACGCTTGCGTGCTCTCACTGTGATTTTCACAGTGAGAATCACGCAAGCGCCTCTAGCGGCTGTCAATGAGACAGCCACTAGAGGATTTGGAGGAAAGCTTAACCCATTGATAAACATAGCAGTTTCTCTGAAACTGCTATGTTTATAAAAAAAATGGGTTAACCCTAGAAGGACCTGGCACCCAGACCACTTCATTAAGCTGAAGTGGTCTGGGTTCCTAGAGTGGTCCTTTAAAGCAACTGATGTTAGAGAAAGGAAGGGAGGGGGTATGGGTGGCTGAGAATAGCTGTACCTGTTTGTGGGTTTCCTATATACAAACAAATGAAGAATGCCATTGGTGACAGTTATTGTGCAGTCCAAGAAACTCACACTGTGATTTGAAAAGTTCATTTTAAAGGGACACTATAGTCACCTGAACAACTACAGCTTAATGTATTTGTTCAGGTGAGATCTATAGCTCCCTGCAGGCAATCTAATGTAAACACTGTATTTTCAGAGAAAATAGAAAATACAGTGTTTACATTGATTGATAGGAATACCTCCAGTGGCCGTCACTCAGACGGCCACCAGAGGGACTTCCTATCATTGCATGGCCCTAAGAAGGCCATGTACACGTCAGACGTATTAAAATATGTCTGACATGTGCAGGAGAGAGAAGGCACTGTGTGCG